ATGGAAATGTTAATCCACTTGAAAGTTGTTGGGGAAAAATAAAACCTCTAGTATGTAAAGGAAAAAGTCATAATTAGGTCACAGAAAGTAAGTAAAGACTGAGCAGCCAGAAACAAATGCAGCAGTGAATGGATTTAACACCCCAACCCCCTTATGTTCTGATTTTGCTTAGGGATGAAGGTTATGAGAAAAAAACCGCTTCCTCTTATTCTGAGTGTTTAAAAAATAATAACCAAAAAAACCTCTTGAGCCCCCCGAAAGAAAGGTGAATGCAATCCTTCCCTTTTTGTGCCTCATAGCTAGAAGGGAAAGTCTGTGCAAAGCATTACCCCAGCTTCAAGGAAAGTGAAAAGATCTGCCTCACCAGTACTACAAAATTGCAGGACATGCCTGTGTCACAGCTTCCCTCCCCCCTACTCCCCCTTGTACCCTGTTAGGTGGGATCACATCTCTTTGTAACTGTGGTACATATGTTTGGGCCAGTGTGTACTTCCCATGACTTAAATTGGCTGGTAAATCAGTGGGGAAGTAGCTATTAGGTATAAAAAGATGATTAAAAAAACTGCTTATGGTACCAGAAATGTTAGTGTTTCAACAAAAACTGTAACAGAAAAAAAAAAAAAATACAATTATATGAATTATGTGTTATGATGGGGACATGTGGTTTCTGTAAAAGAAAATCATGTGTTCTTCTACTAAGATGTTTTGAGCATGTCAGGAAAATCATGGATTTAAGAATCAGTTGAAATTTATTTGGTCTTTAAAAAAGCCTTTGGCAAAGCTTCTCACTGAGAAGCTGCCAAATAAATTAAACAATGTGATGTACTATGGCAAATTAGAAATTCACCAAGTGACAGTAAAACAAAGGGTAGGAAGGAATTAGCAATTTTAAGCATGACAAAAGGCTAACAGAGGGGTGTTCCATTCCTGAGTGGAATTGCATGTATTTTAGCAAATGTGATCTGCACAAAATGATGACTGTGGGTAAGAGAATTGTAGATGATAGAACCTTACGTGCATGAATCAAGATTAGAAAAGGCAAAGCTTGAAAGGGGATAAGAAGCTGGCTGCCAGATAAACAAGGGAGCAAATGAAGTTATTGTTGACAAATACAAGGTACTGCACCTTGGAAACGAGTCTAATCATGCACCTGGCTGTCTGATATGATGAACTGTAACTACTCAGAGAAAATAGCGGAGTGTCGTAGACAGTTCAGTGAAAACCTTTTCTTGGCATGCGTGGCAGTGGTTAAAAAGTATGTTAGCTGTTTAAATGTTTGTAGAATAAACCAGAAATAACACTGAAAATATTACAATGCTATTATTAGCACATGGTATGCTGCCATGTATACTCACTTCTGGTCACTGCATGAAATAGGTGTATCAGAAATAGAAGGAATTTTAAAAGCTGGCAATGAAAATGATTAGTTGGATGGCAAGAACTCTCTTTGAAGAAAGAAGCTGAAAAGAATGGGACTGCCAGGAAAGGAGGTGTGATCAAAATAATGCATGTGATAGAGAACATAAATTGAATGGCTTTTTTTTTTCTTTCTTTCTTGTAATGTGAAACTGAGAAAGCAGCTAGAGAAACAGAAAGAAACAAATAAAAAATTAAAAACAAAAAATTGACCAGTAGATAACTTGTACAGAAGCACTCAAACCAGGCCTACAGTTTGTACAGTGTGTATTGTCATGTTGAAAATTGTTGTCATGTGAAGCAGACATTGAAAAACTGTAGAACCATGAAATACCATTTGAGACTGGAAAGACTGTAGGATTAAAATAAAGATGATACTACTTCGCACAGTCAAGGGAAATATCCATGGTTAAATGATATAAACTCAGAACACAGAAGTCCTTAAATGTTGCTGATGTAAGTGAAATAGTTTTGTGGGATTCAGAAAAAAACATTCTCTATGAATGTGGTTTGTTGCAGCTTAATTCAGAGTGATCCAGATCTGGCAGCAGCTGCGCTCAGAGTGGGACTTCTGAGGAAACCTGTCAGCTGCCCTCCAGTCTCCTCCTGCCCGTGCTTCTTGCAGCAACAAGAGTGTAAAGAGGACATCTGATGGTTTGGGTAGCATTAGCACAGTGTAAGAGCTGTCTCATGGAGAGAGAAGGCAGCTCTTTGGACTGTAACATTGTGTGACCTCAATCTCCCCTGTGGCTTTCTGTGTAACTCTATAGGGTTTCTTGTTTCTTACTCTGCAGCAAGTAGTTGCTGCCTTGACTTTTCCCTCTGAATAGCATAGAAAGGCAATTCTTGGCTCTTTCAGCTGCTGTCATGAGAAAATAAGAGACAGTTTTTCCTTTAAAGGGACTTCAATTATTAGCTTCTATTTCTAATAGTGTTCGAATTTTTAAATAAACGCTATTATTTACTTTTGAGAATTAAAAAGAAAAGTCTTGTGGTGGACCCTGGACATTGGGAGCTACCTATTGGGTGTTGTTTCGTGTGTTTTCTTTGTAGATCTAAAATTCTTCCCTTCAAAATTCTAAATATTTGGGTTTTAATTCTTGTACTCTTCAGCTGCAAGTTATAAATATACTTTATGAGAAATCCATTGGTGATGCTGCTGTTGTCTTTGGGTAGGAGAAAAATCCAAATCAGATTAATTAGCTCCCCCTCTTCTCATCCATTCTCAGAAGATATTGCAGAGGTGGCATGCCATGTTCCTGGGAAGAGAAGGTGGGCTCCCACACACTTTGCCACCCAACTGCAGCAGTGACAGCCTTCAGAAGGCATCATATCAATGATTGTGATAAGGGGCCTCTGAAAGAAGTGGTTAAAAATGTAGGCAGGGAAATGTTGATTGAAGGGGATCCTGGAGAGAAACCCTGGCACACAGAATCTCAGTGGGTGTAAGAGATAAAGTTGCCATGGTGAGAGTGCTTGCTACCATTAGTACATCTTGGTGCTCTTCATGAAGAAGAGTGTGTACATACTGCTCTGCCCATAGACCAACCTGTTTCCAGTAGCGTGGACAGGCAATCTGGTTGGCACTTCTGTTGTAACTTGTTAATATTTATAATTGATTGTGTTGCTATTCTGCAAGGTTGTTGCTTTAAAACTGTCTTAAGTTAGCATTAGCTTCTATTTTTTTTATTTTGTTGTCAGGTGCAATTTTAAGATTCCAAAATTACTTTGTAAATGTCATGATTATACCATACTGAGAATGTCATTCTGTAAAGTGGCTAACCAAGAGAAATTCTCTTGTGCTATCTGTGTGTTTAGTACCTAATCTCTGCACCCCTGGAAGATCTACTGAATGAAAAGTTATGCAGCACTAATTAAATGTGTCTTCACTGAATGCAAATAGGGCTAAAAGAGGGACATCTCTCAGCTTTACATTTTAGTGGATCTGAATCCAGGTCCTATGTATGTAGAGCTGGGAATGCTGGATATTAGCTTGTGACTGAATTAATCTACTATATAGAAAATTAATTAGGCCAAATCTACAACCATGGGAAACTCCAACCTGAATTTTGATAGAGCTGTGTTTGGGAAATGCTACTGCATCCCCTGAGCTCTGCAGTGTCTGCACCGGGACTCTCTGGATGTAGATCACAGCACTGCAGGAATAGGGAAAGTGCTAAAAGCCCTAAAGCTAGGTTTTCCAGGCTCCCTGGTGTAGAGCTGAGCTTTGATTAGAGCTGCAGCTCTCGGGGCTTGCTGCAGCAGTGTGCCTTGGATCCCTGGCACAGCTGGCTGCTTCCGAGCCAAGTCCAGGAGAGTGCCACTCAGTAGCGTGAGAGAATCGTGCCTTGTTTGCCAAGAGTTCATCAAACCTCTCTGTGTTTCAGGTGAAATATTTTGCGTTCAACAAATTGCCATTTTTCCAACAAAAATCTGTCTCACTGAAATGTTTCCAACCAACTCGAGTCACAAATAAAAATGAATGTGTGGAGCTCAGTCTGGTGCCAGTTTGTCCTGATCACATGTTCATCAATTAATAAGGAAAAAAATGTATGTTTTTGCCAGTCATTCTGCAGGGAGTAGCTTGGAGTGCTACTGTCAGGATAGAAAATTCATTTGTGAAACTAGAGGGGAAAAAACTTTTCAATATACCTGCCACTATTATGCTGGGCTCAATTATTCCTTCCCTTTCACGAGTACTGCGTTAAACAAGAAATTGTGTAGATATAGTTTATATAAATGAGTGTGTCTGTTCAAATAATATGTAAACCTGGGTGGGTGGGTGGGTGGGTGGATGGATGGATGGAGTTCTCTTGAAAAGGTAATCAGTATTGGGCCTGAGGATACTAGGCACTGTAGTCATACTGGACCATGTGGTCTCTATGAAAAAGAGCCTGCAGTCAATATTGAGGACAGTAAGATTAAATGTGATCATTAATTGACTGATAAAATGGAATAAATAGCGAACACCTAAACTCATGTTTGTATTTTATCATAACGGAGCTGTTTATTTTCTGGTAGCATTAATTTGCGACAAATTGTTTCAATATTGCCTTGTGTATTGCTGGGTCCTGTGTTTTTGCTCTAAGGATACATGAATTGATGATGGTCGTTGCTGTGCAGGTTGGTGTTTTGCTGGGTTGCTCTGAACAGCTGCTATTTATGAGGTGGCACAATATGATCATGCTTAGCAGAACATGTAATAGTCAGGGTGGGTTTTGTTTGTTTGGTTTTTAATCAAGAAAGCTACTAGTTGTACCTTGGAAGTCTTTTTATGCACTAAGTCATCATGATCCACTTGTAAGGACTGTTTGATCCAAAGAAGACTTCATTTCCATGCTGCAGAAACAGATATTCCTGAATTTATTTTTCAGTTGAGTCTAATATTAATGTTCTTTGACTTCTGTGTGAAAGAATCCTACTGTTATTAGTGCCTGACCTCTTTCCAAATACTCAGAATGAAGAGTTCACCCATTAGTTAACTTTTTTTTTTTTTTAAATGGTGTGAGAAGTGTAGAGATTTCTATAGTGCTAGTAAACTGTTTTACTTAAGACATGCTTTTATCTTTCACCTCTTGAACCAGGTTCATCAGCACCAGGACAGGGGTGAGACCTTTCAGTGCCAGCTATGCCCTTTTACCTCCTCCCGCCACTTCAGCCTGAAACTCCATATGCGTTGCCATCAACATTTCCTCAGGACAGAATCCAAAGTGAAGGAGGAAATACCAGAAACTGAGGTGAAGGGGTCACCGCAGCTAAATAGTGACCCTTGCCCGGGACCACAGAGGGAAGGAGGTGGACCTGACCTACCGGGATCAGCATCTGTGTCTAAAACACCTGACGTGGCTGGGCAGCCTAGTGGAGGTATTCCACCTTTACTAGTGAAAGAAGAGCCCAAAGATGACAATGGCATCTCTGCTGCACCTTTTGCTTTTAGCACTGTTGACAGACCCCCCAACAACACAAAGCTGAAAGACTCCTCTGACTTTGTGGCCAACACAGCATCAGCACTATTCAGCCAAGACATCTCTGTCAAGATGGCATCAGATTTTCTTATGAAGCTGTCAGGTAATTGAGCAGCAAGCGGCAGCAGAAGCTGCTCCTTTGTGGGCTAAGAAACACTTTGCCTTGGGTTTGCAAAGTAATGGAATAGCAGGGAGAAAAACACTGCAACTTCTTAACTTATAGTTTCTTGTTTTCTTTCGTTAAGGAGTGGTGCACGATGGAGGGAAGAGGGAAACTGGTGAGATAAGAGAGGGATGGTGCTGGGATTAGGAGTGAGAACTTTTTATCCAGTCTTTCATGTTCATTGACAATTACTTTGGCAAATACCATTTGGTGTGGTTTTCAGGCATGCTGCGTACCTGTAGTTCTAGTTTGAAATCACTGAGTGTCACACACGCCCAGCCCGTCAGGAAATTCAGCTCTTAAATTCTCTGCCTTTACTCATCTGTTAAGTAGGACTAATTGGTCACCTTCCTTCAGAGCAGTGTTTGAGGTCTAACTAGTAAATACTTGTGAAGTATGAATGTTATTGCATTTCTTGATTATTAACACTTAAAAAAAAGGTAGTCCTAGAGATTCATGAACAGCTTTTAAGGTTTTTTTTTTTACCATTTTAATTGAAATCCATATCTAATGCAAAGCATGTTTATTGTGTTTTCTTTGACTGTCAGATTATTACTGTAAGGATGATATTCACATGTGAGACTCTGAAGTGGAGGATGTGTTTAGGGTGAATCAATTATATTTTGTGTGCTCTTTTATTGATTTGACTGAACACTTCAGTATTGTGGCTATGCTGGGGGATGTTCTATACTAAATGTTTTCCAAATTGGCCTTTAACTTTTAAAGAGAAAGAAGTCAGGCAAAATGTCACGTAAGAAACTTTTCAATACAGAATAATTGGTCATCTTTTTCCTTTAAATGGAATGTAAGTTGCATTTTAGCAAATTTTATTGTCAAGTAAACTAAGGAATTCACTATGTCCTATAGCCATTGCTTTGGTGAAACCATAGCCATTTATTTTGGGAAGGCTTGCTATCCTCATCTGTCCAGACCTTTATATCTCTGGGATTGCAATTCTGCAGGGAATCAAGTAGAATGGGTAAACACAAGAAGTTAAGCCTGAGGGTTCCTTGAGCCAAGCAGAAGAATGGAAAAGGGCTGAAGACAAGCAGGAGGTGAACTGGGCTGGCACAAATGGTTTGCTGTGTGGGTTGGAAGAAGCCATAGAAACCTCCTCTTTAAAAAATGTATTATTATGATCAAGAAAAAAATCAACAGGAGAGTGTCTGTTTTGAATTGCTTGTACATTTTTTACTGGTACATTTTTTTAACTGAGTTTCAAATTTGGAGTCTACATGAAATCCATTTTTTATGACAGCTGTCCCATATATGTTGTCATTCTGATGTCTGCCTTAAATTTGGATTGCTGTGCAGGAAGTGGCTTGACACATCAACTGTACTGACCTGTAGGTGGTAGTGCTCACGATGGCTGCATGTAGCAAGAATGAACAGAAAAGACGGGGAAAGCCTGAAAGCTGAGAAAACATACAATATTTTGTTGTTTTTTTTCATGTAGTACTTGATGGGGAGCTTTACAGTTTGGCAGAGGGTCATGTTTTCGATGTCTGATCTATTGGCATCAGTAAAAGGATACAAATGTACATTTTTTCATGCAAAAGGCCCTATGCAGTTATTTTATGGTGACTTACTAAAGGTCTTGAAACCTGACTTGTATGCACTGTTACCTAGCAACATGTTATAAAGTCACTGGGGGAGTGAGATGTATCTGTAATTCTGTATGTGTGCATATTTGGATGAAAATGTACTGCTGGTCACCAAGTTTACTACAAGAAGAGCAATGTTAAAAGGAAAGGAACTTCTTTTCTCCCAAGATTTATATTGTGTTACATACATTTAGCTTATGCTTTCCTCCATACAGTGTGCATAAATTTAGAGTAGAATTAGGAGTAATTCTCTTTTAGCAAGTTGTCTAAGTATTACCTGCATTTTTTTGACTGCTTGCTGTGCTGAACCAAGTTCCTTTGAGTGATTTCTTTATTACGACGCATTTGTTAGGTCCATCAGAACTTCAATTAGTGGCCCTACCTTTTCAGTGACATAAATCTTTTGACATCTCAAGTTGTATATGCTAGCTGTAACAGCCAACACAGATTTGTCGAGACCAAATTATGTCAGAACAATCTAATTTCCTTCTCTGACAGGCCTTGTGGCTAAGAAAAAAAGCAGCAGATAGATATATAGAGTTTTAGAATTTGGCATTTATTCTTATTGAATATTGATGGTTTAAATGAATATTATTTTTGCTTGCCAATGCTTATTGCTTTTCTTCTTGGTTGGTCTTGGTATGTCCTAAGTTTCATGGGAGACCTCAGGTCCTGTGGGTCTTCATTTCTGTGCAGTTGCAGCCTCTTCTTTTTCCAAGGGTGTGACTTGGGGCAGCTCTTATCTCCCTTTGGACTTAAGAGTTAGGGTTTCCAGAAGTTTAACTGGTGCACTTAGAGTGAAAGGTAGAATAAATACCAATTTTGTAAACTATTAGGGATTTTAAAATTGAATCTTAATAAGCATGTATATCATCTTGACTCTCAGTATTTTTTCTGATCATGCAATGCAGTACAGTCCAGCCTAGATGAAGTTGCTACCAGGTAGTTGGAAAACAGTATGTTGACAGTAGTTCTAAGTCAAAACAGAAGAGCCACAGTCAAGAGATCTGTAAAAAACGTGCAACGGTTCAAAAAACTGTTGCACAAATACAAACCCAGGAACAACTAGCTAGGTAACAATCTGTGAGAAAGGGGGAGCAGTTAACAACGTCATACTAGTGCTAAAAAGGCTGTCATTGTACTGTGATGTATACAGAGAGAAATGGCCTCAAAGAAGGGAGTAACAGTCTTGCTGAAGTCCACGGTTTTGGCACTATAGTTTATGAAGGACTGTTGGAAAGACTTCAGAGAAGAGCAGCAGAAATGACTGGAGGTTTGGAAAACATGTCCAGTGAGGATGGATAAAAAGGAGTGAGGTTGTGAACCTATAGAGAAGACCAAGGAAAGTCATTAATTATGTCATTAATGCACTTACAAATTTGTTGTGTGGAGAAAGAAATAATCTGTTGGTAATTCATCATTATTAGGGCAAAAACCCCACATTTATATTGCTGTAGGGTTTAAGTTGGCATTAGGAAAACCTTTCCAAAAGTTGAGGTAGTTAAACCTCTATGATAGTTTGGCTGGAGAGATTATGGCATCTCTGCCACTGAAGAATTTCAAAACCAGGCTAACTTGACGGATATGATTGATCACATATTAGTCAGTAGGATGGACTAGGTCTCTGTATCTCAGTCAGTGAACCAGAGGGCATCAGAAGCAGTTGAAGAAATTTCAGCTGAAGAAAACCAGGGAGCAGGTTGTAGAGAAGCAAAGTGAGGAAAAAAATTTACAGATGGTCAAAGTTAGACCTGATTTTGAGTGGACCAGAAGTGAATTCTGATGGCACTGCTCAAATTGGCCTCTGATTTTATTTATTTATTTATTTATTTTTAATCAGAAAAGCTTAGAGGAGATTTAGATTTGAAGAGGTTGAGAAATATTGGTATGGGTGATCTTTTGAGATCTCTTCAGTTCTAATTCTGTGCCATCGCTTGCCAGAGAGATGTTTAGTTACATGTTTTGTGAAATAAGGTATAACACAAATCATCAAATGTAAATCTAAAAGTAAGAACAAATCTTGAAATTATTTCCAGATACCATTCTCTAGGTCTAGGCTTTTAAATTCACAAGAAATTTAAAAGGGTTCTCTGAAATTTTATTGGAATTTGTAAAGGTTTATTGTTTGTAAAGACACTTAGCAGGTGACTCAACATATAAACAGAAGAATACTTATGCATGGGCATATTTTTACCTTCAAATCATCCTGCTTTTATTTCAGCAGGCCTGCTTGTATGCTTTAAGTTGCCCTTGTGCTTTGCCAGAATGTTTTCTTCCCCCAGTCCATTAGTTCCACACTGAAACTTTGTAACTGCATTTGTATCTTAATTTGCAGGGTATTTGCTTTTCCTGTTTCAAAGGTTTCAGTGGCAGACATTACACAACACATCTCTTTAAATACTGATGTCCTTCCACCCACTTCTAAGGCTTGTTTTCTTTTTGTAATAAAAACCAGCTTTCACAGTGATCCAAATTACAATGGCTGATGTACTCTAGTGTGGTTATTACTGTGCCTGTGTTATGTGCTGCAGTTACTTTTCATAACATTCAAAAATAAATGAATCCCATCAAAATGAATGGGATTCTTGCACTATTGATCTCAAAGGAATTCTATGTGGAAACAGTAATTGTAAAGCGTACTTCATTGCTGGCCTCTCCCCCCCGCCTCTCTGTGTTCACCAAGTGCATTACTCTAGAAAGCATGTCTCTTCATCTTCTGACAGTGCATATTATCAAGTGTGGCCTGCTTCTGCAGTTCTTTTTATGTTTCCCAAGTTACTCACATGGAAAAACTTCAAAATAGAGAGGAGGAAGGAGAGAGAATATGCTGAGGGTTTGGGGCTGGCCATGTTAAACAAATGAGAAATTATGTTTTCTCCCTGTTATATTGTATCTGCTGTCACTATCACGTGAGGAGTCAAATCCTTATTTTGGAAAATAATGCCACCATGGGATTTTGGTGACTGTCCAAAGTACTTGGACTTTGCATTCATGTTTTATATTAGCTTATTCCATTAATGGAATAATGAAATAGTAAATCATCAGACAGCTACATACAAAGTATTAGTAGATAACTTAAGTAATCACTTAGGTTATTTGTTCTGTTTGGCTCTTGAAAAATACTGCATTCCTTAAAGGTAACACAAGTAATTTTAAATGTTTTATCATTTGCCATTGACAGTACTGAACTGACTATCTTGAACTCTTCAAACAGCTATTTTTAATAAAATAAAAGCATGTCCAATTAAATTGTCATAACTGATGTATTTGGGTAGCTAGTTCCAAAGAAAAGACCGTGCTGCCTGTATTTAGGATTCATAGTTTGTGCCAGAACGTAAAATTTCAATTAGAATATGTAAGCATACAGGACTGGCAATTATTAAGCCATATCCTTAACTTAAAAATACTGTGAATTCCATAACACTGCTGTCACTGTAAATACCTCTGATGTCATCAAGATCTGTCTTTGAAGTGTCTCTCCAGAGTTACATTTTCATAATTTCCATATAGA